TAAATTGACTAACAATCTTCACTCAAAATCATTTTCTATTAGCAATGACTATTATAGACTGATCATTGAATTAAAATTTATTCATTGGCAAGATACGGGTATCTTAAAATCATGTAATAGAGTATTAGTATATCTTTTAAGCTCAGCACAAACAACAAAGAAGTAACTATTTCTCCTTTATTTTCAACTTATTTTTATTTTTCCTTGTAAAATTGATTAATATTTCATACAGATTTCCAATTGAAAATAAACTAAAAATAAATTCAATAATGTTAACAAAATAGATTTCTAAAGAGTAGTTCAATCACAGAATAAAGTAATACCTAGTTCTTTCAAATTTTCAATCATACAGAAGGTGTATTATATATCGTTATTCAATTTATATTTATTGCTGAATACCTAGGTATTAAATGACAGACGTGTGTAAATAATGACTAATGAGAGGAATGGTTAATAGAATACAGTATGACCTTGTGTGATGAGCCCTGTACATTTTGCTATAAYGCATAATAATTATAAGCAATTTCACACGTTTAGAAAATATTTGAACTATGGTTTATATTATTAAATACAAAATATACTGTTAMCTTTACTAACATCATTAAATTWATGAATCACATACATTTTCACTAGGAATAAGAATAAAAAATCAATTTCCCCAAAATCCTGACTTTAAAACYCCTTAATCGACAATTCTAAATATATTACTTAGATAGTTTAAACACGTCATATCCAAATTAACTTTATATTTTTATTTATAGTCAAGTAAATTATAGTTTTTTGTAAAAAAAATATCTGTATGCAATTATTAATTTTTAGAAGGTTTAAATAGCTGTTGTTAAATCAATATACAATTTAGAAACACATACCCCACGGTGAAGAAATATTATTTTTTTVATAACTTTAAACATTTAACCATGACCTCTAAGACGTCAAGAAATTGTATAAATACTTAAATATAATTTAAAATAACAAAATAAAACAACATCTTTTCTTAAAAAAATTTAATGTATACTAATATTTAACTTAAAAAAAGAAATTAAAATACTAATATTAAGTAAAAAATATGAAAATAGGAATTGAATTACACAAATTAAAATTAAAATACTTTAAATAATATAGAAAATAAAGATGGGCTACGTTTATCTAATACATAAACGCATAATTACATTAAAATTTTTTTTTATTATATTATTTTAATTATAATTATTGACAAAACACAGCACTTAGCACTATGTCTTAAAATAAACTTATTATATTTTATTACAGAGAATAAAATAAAAGGTTTGAGCCGAGGATCAATATACATGATAAATTAAAAAAAATCATTCAAAGATATACCATAAAAATAAACTGCAATTGTACTGAGTTAAAAATAACTACCTAAATTAATATTAAAATTCTATATAAATACTATTCATATAACTGAAAATAAAATAGAATGATGATGTGCTGTTCACATAAGTCATAAATTTACAAAATGCCTAAGTAAAATGTAATTGATTGAATTTTGTAAGAATAAATATKTTTTTTTTTKTTAAAAATCACAATACATAATAAGGAAATACAACAATGATCTTAAAAACAGTTACATAGTCTAAATGAAGGTTAGCTTCAATATACAGTAAGTTTAATCTATT